AGCACCTAGCATCGTGAGGTACAATACAGGAGCCTTTTTTCTGCATCTGGCATGCAACACCTCTGCCACGAAACCAACCCTTCTCAAACTACCCGCGCACACGCAGGGCAAGGCTCCTCTAAGAAACTGAGCCCACCCTGCAGCAGATATCCATACAATCCCACGTCCTCCCTTCAACTAAAGAAGTAAGATCGCTCCGCTTCAAGAAGTGCAGGAGCGTTTGCACTCCAAGACCCCAACGTGTCGTCAGCAAATTCTGCAGCTGCTGCATGGTGTGTCGGCGAGAGCCCTTTTTATCAATTGCTTGCTGCTTGTTTGTGGCTGTGCAAGGGGAAGTCCCCGCCATTCTTGCTTTGCTTTGCTTTGCATCCCTTCTATTCCTGCTCACCTCAAGAGGTGCTCTCACTGCATTGCTGGACTTCAAATACATGGAAAACCGAAAAGTTCTGGAGGACGGGTCGTATGTTTGGCCCAATTGGGCATTGCCCCTTCGACTGCTCCTGGAGACCTTGTGGCTGCACCCAGGCTCGAGTTCTCAAGCAACTGCACGGCGGAGCATGCTTCTAAATCCTACTTAGTCTGGACATGCCTTATGGAAGCTACGATGTTGTCGTGTATAAATTGGTCTCTGTGTTTCCATAGCCTGCCAAAGTCCTGAACTACAATGGTTCCATGCATCCCTCGACGAGACGACAATAGCAGGACCCGTTATGACCGCAAAGTCTGATGGGCAGGGGAAACGACTATTATTGGGAGGCTGATGCTTGACATCGCATGTACTTGTAGAGCACGACCTCGCAAACAAACTAACACAGGTTTGGCCTGGGAACCCTTGGACTTAGTGCGGCCAACGCTTGTTGGGGCCGAAATTGCCTTGTGCACCAAATGGTCTTGCGTATGCCAAAAGATGAGTGTCTTTCGTGACCCACACACTCAAGTCTACACTTCCAGCTTTGACAAAAGCATGAAGTCTGCACAAAGGCCCCAGCACATACTGCGATCATCTAGGGCCCTGCAAGATTTGGGGTCCTGCACAGCTCACACCGGCCCACACATTCATTTTGAAAGCCCGACTCACAAGTGCTAGCAAGGGTGCACTTTCTGGAAATTTGCTGAGGTAGGTAAAAGGCACTGATATGGTCACACGGCAAGCCTTGTCTTCCTTTCATATGACGAGTGAGGACCGCCCCAGCACTGAAACTCATCTCCAAAAACCCCAGATATCTCCAAGGTCCCTGAGGGTCCTTTGGGGGTGTCTCAATCCCCAACATCCTAAACCCTACATTCCCCTATAACCACCTCCCGATACCGCCCTTTCTACCCCAGGCGGGTAGGCACCTCCTTAGATTGCCTTCGGCCGAGCAAGGCGCATCCTAATCAGGCAGCACTTGAGGGGTTTGCCTCATGATTTCCATAGCAATTATAGTAGGAAGGACAATAACAACAACAGTAATGGTAGATGGTGGTGGTGATGGTGGTAGCAGCAGAAGCAGCAACAGTAGCAGCAGCAGCAGGTCGTCGTGAATAAGAAGAAGAAGAAGAAGAGAGAAGAACACACATCGTAGCAACAGTACTACCAAAAAAAATTGACAATAGACCCTTCACAGCCCTTAGGTGGGACTCTAGTGATTCACAGGAACGACTAGGAGTTTGGGGGGTTTCATGGGGTCCCCCGTAAGGATTGTCTAGGTACTGCTTTGGCAAAATTCCATGGGGTTCAAGCTTCTAGATATACAGGGTTCAAGGATTTGGGGTTGTTGGATTCGGGGTTCGGGGGTCTTGCGGGTTCGGGGTTCATGGGTTTATAGGGATATACTGGAGAAGGTACTGTAGGGATCTAAATCTATAGTATATGTGGGCTGAAGGCAATATCCTGGTAATGGATATGCCAAGAAGATGGAAGATGAAACAAAAACCAGGGATGTACAGTAAGTTACAGGTACTAATGGCTAGGTTTCTGGGTGTAGGATCGCAGAGCAATTGCACAGTTTCAGCGGCAGTTTGGCTAGGTCAACCAGCGGTTGGCTATGGCTATCGATTCAAAAAACGAAGTGAAGGTATTATGAGCCCAAAACTGCAAGCAGCATGTGAATTTAAAGGGAAGGCAGACATGCGCCATTGGGATAATATAAGGGGTATATACCCCCAATGATGGAGAATCAGATGGAAAAGAAAATGGAAAGGAAATGGAAACTGGGGGAATCTAGGATTTAGGGTTTGGATGCAGCCCTCTGCAAGGAAGATCGTTTCGGGGTGTTGCCATTGCGGCATCGCAGAATTGCCCCTCCTCTCCACTGCATGGGGCTGATAACTTTTGATAAACACCATGGTCACCTACACACTCCGACCTCAGAGTATAGGGAGTTAAGGAACTCTAGGGATAATGGAAAAGAAAATGGGAACTACTGTAATATATTGGGGTTATATAGGGTAGGGAACCCGGGAAATCTTGGCTCACCTGTCATACATCTCCAACCCACACCAGCGATCCGTTGCTTGAAGGTCCCAACCCAAGTCTTTCCCGTCAGTAGCTCAGCATCGAGATGACATGCGCAAAGCAACCTTTGACCATCTTGTTTGAGGCCAAGACTACAACAAACCCTACACCCTAAACCCTGTGTTGGGTTACAATGAGTCTGGCATGGATTTGTCGGAGCCGGTTATACAAACCCTTAGGCAAAGATTTTGGCAAACTGCAGGCCGAAAGAAAGATGACTTCCCAAGATCCAGCTACAGCAGGTGTTTTGAAGATATTCTCCCTGTTTGGGCACTCTAAATAGTAGAAGTCGTGCTATGAAGGGAACTCGAAAATCCAGACCATAATGTCGACACCCACCTGTATACTTCATCTGACCCCGCAGTCAAGACGTGTCCATATGAGCCTTTTGAAGGGCCAATGGCGCCCATGAATTCAGTTCACTGGTCCAACATTTTCAATTTCCAAGATCCCTCCAGACAACTCCTACAAGGGTGGATCAAATCCCCAATCGGCACCTACATGCGAATGCACTGTCTGTCCAAGTCTGAGAATGCGACCACAAGCACTGCCTGGCAGCGATTGACAAAAAAACGGATTTAATCTGTGCTCTTGATTGATATAGACACCCTGGATTAAAAAATTGCCACAACAGAGGGTCAAAGATAACGTTAAAGGCGGAGGCAGTTTTGGGCCGAAAGCCTTCAACTAAAAGAAAATTACTCCCACACCCTCCAAAATAGCACGGTTTAGGTTTGAAGTTTAGTCTCCAAAGCCTAAGTCCCTAAACCCTAAACCCTAAAGCCAAATCCCAAAAAGACTCTAAGACCTGAAGTGCTGCTTAAAACTCATTAGGAAGTAGAGGCTCAAAGATTGCTTCCTCAGGAACCCCCTTACGGACCGTGCAGGAGAGGCTCTTTCTGTAGATCAAAGGAAAACCCTTGGCATAACGGCAAATGCTTTTAGGGTCATCATGTTAATTAGAGTTTAAGGCTGTAATTAGATGTGAGATGATGTTCGTTCATTACTTTTTCCTTCTTGGAATCTGTGTAGCCCCTGTAGAAACCCTATATAACCCTTAAACCAAAAACCCACAAGGACAACATTTCCTTTTCAAAATCATTTTAAGACTGTGGCCTTTAGCAACCCAAAAACTGTGGCAGCAGGCGTCGAAGAGTTCGTGCGCAAGGTCACCCACACGGCGGCCGTCAGCGCCGACAACCTTAGTGTCGATTGGTACAGCGGTTGGTACAAGGATGTTTTCAGACTACTAGCCTCGTTCAGGATCTTAATGCTGCAGGTCATCTTTCTCGCTACAGTAGCCAGCCATGAAATCCATCAGGTTCTACATGGCAGTTTTCCGAACACCTGTCCCCAAAATGCCATAAAATAGGTTCCCTTTCTGGTTAAGATCCCCCTTGAAGGAAAGGCATTCCCAATGGTCCCTCTTTTACAATGACAGTCAGGACAACCACCTGTTCCCCAATCCCTGAACCGCGGAACCATCCTCCTAGGTCCCTCTGGTCTAGGGTTTAGGGGCATGGAGGGGCTCACCCGAAGAGCGCCATATGCAATAATTAGGAATTGTACCTAAAATGAATACTTCCATCCCTCATATGATTTCAGGCCCAGTCTTAGACTAAGGGGCATTGGGCTCCCATGGATCTAGCTTAAATGAGAACTAGATGGAGGCTCCTTTAAATCGGGGCCCAAATACAAACCCTAATGCCCAAAATGATCCTTTGGATGGAGATTCCCCAACCCCAGATGAAGACGATGATGTCCTCCTAATGAGGGCTTTATCATCACCAAGAATGTCTACATGGTCCAACGCTCATGTGTCCAACCCTGGGCATCAAAGATTCGGCCATACCGAGGATTGTAATGGTGTGTCAGGAACCTCGTTTTTTGGAAGCTATCATTTCTAGGACTTGGCACGCCAGGAAAGGCTTGCGAAGTGAATGAGTGCAACCAGCACGCGGTGATTCAAGATGTGGCAGACTTACCTCGGTGATCATGACACTGACTTCCATTCCACACAGCACGAATCAAATAAGCAAGCGAGCTCACGGCAAGGCAGTTCGTTGCCCCAGCCTTGGTACCAACATCTCAATTCAAGGGCTACTGCGATTAACAACTCTGTGAGGTTCTAATGGCAACGTGAAAACCCCCATCTGATTTGACAGAGTTCAGCTTTAGAAGTTCCTGCGAAGGGATTCGGCAATGAAGTTAAGTTTCCCATCTGGGGTGCCTCTTTTTTGAGTATGCTAGCTTTCTGACAGCTGATGAAAAAATCGCTGAAAGCTTCTTGCAACCGCAGGCATGTGACTCATGTGCTCCGGCATGCGCAAAAAAGGAATAGTGCAACTGCCGGCAAGTGCCCTCACTGATCTTTCATGTCCTGCCAGGCTGGCACTTGCCACGCATCCAAAACAAACTTCAAGGTGGGACCGTAGCATGACATCGAGGACACAACGCACCAAGATCTCAACCTCCATCAGCTCACGAAAAAGACTTACCTCGCCTGCACGAATGCAGCAACGTCGGGATCAATGCTCGTAAGCTGCTGCTGGAGTGCTGCCGGCAGCATGAGGAATCTGTACTTCTGCGCAGATAACCACCAGTATATCGACTTCTCCGCAGGGACCATGGGACTTGGGAGCCTTCCACTTTGCTTCACCGCACTTTTCAATTCTGAAATCCGAAGCCTCCAGGTAGACATCATCACGATGTCTGGGTTTCCTTCCCAACTCTCAAGAAGGTCACGAACATATGGGTGCAAGCCTTTCAAAAACTGGAGTCTGGACAGAGTTACATGGAAGGAACCTTTCTTCAATCGCAGGAGGAATAAACCCAGCTGCTGCTCTGTGTGCGTGCTGCACGTGTTTCGTGACAGGTTTGGCAACGCACCGTTTTCGTGAATGTACTCCCTCAACATATCACATCTCTTCCGGAAGACCACGTCCTGTCCCAGCCAGTCCCAGGCCCGAGCCCGCACCAGTGGTGAGGTTGAATTCATGAACCTTTGAACTCTGTATGTGGAGAGCACCTTCTGCCTGAGTCGCACTCCAACATTGCGCAACCAACAGCCCAACAACGATTCCCGCACTGAAGGTCCCCTTTCTACTGGAAGCCTGCCTTGCTCAGCGACAAACTCCTCTACTGCCTGAAGTCTTGCTTCCCAAGGATTTCCTTGCGCGAGCACCAACGACAGCTGAGTAAGCACGTCTGTTGCTATGGGAAGTAAAGAAGCTGTAGGTCTGCCTTGTCTGACATCCACGATTCTTAAACGCGAGCTCAAAGACTTGTCATGCAGCCGACTGTCGGCCATGGCGATAACGGCCAAAAAACGCTCAACCTGCATGGAGTAGCCTTCGTCCGTCGGCCTTGCATGCCGAACCTGACGCATCCTGACTCTGGCCGGATTTCGGGTATGCTGCTCTCGGTCTTGTTCTCCCGCGGCAGCTACTGAAACTCCATCACTTGGCAATCGCTCAGCCATGTCAGCAGGACGGAGGGTAGCCTCCACCTGCAACTGAAAAGCTGTGCCAGGCGCGTGGTCCAGTTCTCCATCCGGCACGTTTGCCATCTTTGCTGGCCGTGGGCAACATCCTTTTTCTACAAAGCTGCCTTGTTGGTGTTTTCGCATTTTGCTGGTTGCAGCATCTGCTATCACCTTTCCACCGGGTTTTTCCAAATCCTTTGACAGCTGCGACGAAGCCAGATCTTTGAAGGTCGACCGGGAAGAATCAGCTGCAGCCATTCGAGCTGCCGTGTTCGATGTCCTGTAAGTCGATGGATGTGTGCATTCGTGCTTGTGGTGACGAACTTCTCTCTGTGTGGGGGCAACATTCCAGATTTGTGGCTTAGGTGCTGAGGCTGTTGGAAGTGGAGCCTCATTGGAGGCATCCAAACGTCCCCCATCACGATGCACGGCTTCTGGCATACTTGCATTTGCAACAACAGCAACCGCTGGCAAAACAATGTGAGCCAGTGGCTTCGCGGGATTCTTGCGCAGCACGCGTCCTATGGCCTGTACAATGCTGGTGTAGCTGCTCCGAGGCTCCACAAACATGCATGTGTCTGCATTTCGAATGTTGATGCCCTCCCCTAGAACCTGCACCGTTACGAGCACGTGCACCGGTTTCTGCAACGGTCCAGTAAATTCACCTAGCACCTGCTGTCGCACACGAAGGCGTGTCCGTCCATTGATGTGCCACGCAGCCAAACCAAATGACTCCAACAGCTGCTGAAAACGCTTGGCCTCATGAACAGAATTGCAATATGCGAGCACTCTTCTGAATCGGCCAGCTTCGGACTGCAGCATCTCCGCCAAGCACAAGTAAGGGTGAGCTTTCGACGTTAACGGCACTGTGAGATCGTAGTCGCACAGTACCCCATCTTCAATCGCCTGTCGCATTGTATACTGGAAGTCTGCCTGGAACAAGGCCAGCAAGGCAACTTGAAGTTCAAACCATTTTTCAATTTCATTTCCACAGCAAGCTATCTTACAAAAATGCAAGGCGCATCGCATGAAGACACATGTGGGATTCCCTTTTTCCCCCAGAGCCTTCTCACGCAGTGTTGCAGAGAACAAATGCATGTTGGCTGCTTGCGGCATCCCTTGTGGGACTGGGTGGTGTGCTTCATCTACAAAGGCGGCATCGAAACTTATGTTCTGCAACCTGTGCACAGAGTCGGTGACTGCAACGAAGCCGCGAGCACTGTAATTGATGTTCTTGTTGTATCCCATGCCCACTTTGCAGTATGTAGGGAATTCGTCAGCAAACTGTTCAAGCAGAACTCGCGAAGGAACAGTCACCAACACCTAGGTCGTGTCACACATAAGCTGCATTTTGCATGTCATTTCAAGTAAGAAAGCAGGAAACATTTAGCGAGGCCCGTCCATGCTCTTGACACCAGGCTTGACCTTCACCAGCAAGAGTCGTTTCCAGTTGATTTAACAAGCATTGGAAGGTGGCGAGTGCTTGCGCACAGATTCAGGCCGAATAGCCCGTGCCTTTTACGGTACATCTAGTTATGCAACGAAGCCGTGTTGATTTGTTGACATCACTAGCTGCATGTACCGACATCAGAACGCAAACACAACATTTTGCTCGCCATACGCTGACCGGGGCACCTTGCCTGATATGTTCATGGCCATCTCCCGGATAACGCGGGTCTTCCCACTTCCACAAGCCATTTCTACTATTCGAGCCCCGTGGGCGCAAGCATCCAGGCATGCCTTCTGGCAAGGCCACAGCGCGGGAACTCCCCAACAGTTCATGTCAATTTCTTCAGGTTCACTTGCTTCACCAATATGCAGCAGCTGCCGCCTCGACACAGCTATATGCCGCGCTCGATAGTGGCGGAGCCACCTTTTCGAGTCATCGTTGAGCTTGCATCCTCTCAACGTCACCAAGACGTACTCGGAGGCCTGACCACGCAGAAAACGTACGGTCAATGCTGTTCCGCAAACTTTCGTACGTCTGCATGATCACAGCGCACTGTCGAAGTGATCCACACGAGGAAGCGGGAAGAAACAAGCAACAACACTGTCACAAACCCCACAAGATACATACTTGCTGGCAGGAAGAGCTGTGAGAACGTCCATAACAAGGGATCAGCGGCCTTGCAGACAATCCGAGCCGTGCGCAGGAATCGCTTGACGTCCGCGTGGGGCACCATACCGTTGACCCCGGTACTGCACAGGACTGCATGTCGCCCATCCAGGCTGAGAAGATCCAATCCTGCAGGTGAATGAACATGACATCTAGTACCATGTAGGATAGAAATGCAAAGGTCTGCGATATATCGGCCACTGCCTGCAGGGTGACATGGCGGTTGTCAGTGTAGGACCGTAGGACCCAAAACAGCATTGCCCTCCTGCCTAGGATTCTGCGTGTAAGCTTTCGTCGCTCCACAAACCAGGGCGGAAGATCCTTTTCGCGTTCATGATGGACAGCAACTTGAATAAGTGTCTCTAGTTGAAATATTGCGTCTCAACGAATTCAGCGAAGGAAGGCATGTGAAAACAAGATCTGCAAGCATTGGAAGACGAAACGGTGTGCTCTGGGAGTCCGTTTAGGACCACCGCTGTTGGGTGACTGCAAATGCCTTGTGTCGCTCCTGCAATGGCACACCGTCCAACTGAAGCACGGCAGCCCAGAGAAGGCGCTGCTGGTCCTCGAGACCAGAACCAACAATTCCCAATGATCGGATGGAAATCTTTGCGCTGCTGTCTGCAGGTTCCGAAATGTTTCTTTGATGGGCAAACGGGGCCACGGATGTGAATCTTGAAATATGCGATTAAAGCCCTGATGAGATGCACAGCACCACCTCCAGTCCTAATTCACAGACACAAAGGCCGGGCTAACTCAAATGGTTTTAAAAGAATTAATGGGGGGTTCTGATTAAAAGCCCGCCCCCTAACAGGTACGCTTCTAAATAATAAGTCCGGGGGATCCCCAATCAGTTGTCGGAAAACTTGTTTTGGGGGGGTCCCAGCCCTAAACCCTAGACCCTGAATCTTAAACCCTAAACCTAAACCCTTAACCCTGAACCTAAGCCTTAAACCCCAGACCCTGAACCCAAAGTCCTGACCTTTAAAGAGTTAATCCTGAACCTAGAACCCAAACCCTGAACCCCAAACCTTAACCCAAAACCCTATGCCCTAACCCCTGGACCCTAAATTTACTAAACCCTGACCTTCAAACCCTAAACCCTGAACCTATAAACCTAATGCCTGAACCCTGAACCCCAAACCTTAAACCCCAAAACCTTAACCACCCCAAAACCTTAACCCCTTAATTAACCCTAGACCCTACACCCTAAACCCTGGGCTGTGAACCCTAAACCATGCCTGCCAGGGCCCTGAGTATTCCGTACCGTGTTTTTTGACCACTATTCCGTTCCGGAGGTCTCGGTATACTACCCCTTAGCAGAAATGATTTCCTGGGCTGTTCGAATAAGCTGTCTTATAAGAAATGGATAGTTTCTGGCGTGCTCAAAACCTGAGAATAAAAGCTCACATTAATTAGGTTTGAGATCCATAGGGCTAAGGCTTAGCAGCTGAGCATATATCTGCAATTGGAATCTTATTCTTCTTTTGCAGATACTCAATTAGGGGTTCGATTGCTTAGACTGGCTTCTCTGGCTTTGTTCTCTGTGTCTTTTGTTTTCTTTCCCTGTTTGGGCGTTTCCAGAACCGAGCACGGCAGTATTCCGTTCCTGTATTGCTATTAATCCGTTCAGACTGGATTTAGCTCTAATCCGTACCCATCTAGATTATTCCGTTCAGGCCTGATGAAGCTCTAATCCAACCCCCTTTAATAATCCGAAGTCAACAATAGTGCATCTTGAGTACAGGATGCGACATGCGTCTATCAGCTGCATCCTTCAACCGCATCTCCAGTCCTGGAGGAAGGACCAGCTCAGGGCCTCCCGAGCCAATGCCCGCAGGCGTTCCATGAAAGCTGCATCCCGACCTTGTTGAGAAATCTGAAGCAGTAAGCGTCTTGGATTGTGGGACTTTCGAGCGGGTCATCAGAGTTAAGAAGAAACAATGCTTCGCATATGGGCGTTGGGGTGGAAAACGCTGACCTTGAAGGATGAAGTCGAACCTGCACAAAAGGACTGCAAAGGAATCCAGAAATCCAAAATGTTGGTGTGCAACTCTGGGGCTCTGCACCCCACCACCACTCGCCGTTGATGGGGCGGGTGATTGGCAAGGGAACGAGGGCAGCAGGTGAAAAGGAAACATTGTTTGTCACGTCTGCTTATGCTTATACGCCGAACGCCACCTATTCCTGAGGGCGTCTCTTGTTTTATCACCACCTTGAAAACACCTCCTTAATTGCGACTCAAGGTCGCAACTCGGCCGCTGTCAACGTGGTCTCCTTGCGGCTCTCAAGGAGAGCAGAGCGAAGACGAATCCTCGCGCAGCATGATGTTGGGGCGCTACATACAAACCATCTCTCGCAAAACAAACATATGCTTTGGTTCCATATGGACTAGACACGCAACATCCCGTTCAACACTGTTAAAAAGTCCTCTGCCTGGGAGCATGATTTGACGAAGACGCTCCACGAGTCCAGCTTGCAAAGCCAATACAGAAATGGCAGCAACTTGAAGCAAGGGCAGCTAGGGCAGGCCACAGAGCAAGCCACGCACGTCGGCGAACCTCCAAGCATGGAGGGTAATGTGTTACAGATTGAGTTCAGCATTCACTCGCAGAGCGGTGCCTTCCATGCCATAGCGGAAGGCTCAATTCGTAATCTCCGCGTCAGCTGATGATCGCCAAGTGGCGACCCCGGCGTTCATCCCAACAAGTGGCAAAGAACTATCCAGCCGAAAGTTTCATCAGTGATGAAAACCGAACACAGACATGAATCCACCGTCCCATGACTCCATTTGAGGCTACAAGCTGCGGCAACTGCTTTGCAATCGACCATTGCAATCTTGACGAAGCACCATGTTCACGAACGTGCTGCCTAATCTGTTGCTGTGGATGTATTACAGGCATTTCATCCCATTTTCCACAGCCTGATGTTTGGAGAGCCCAATATACCTCAAGTAAAGAATACACCTGAAAACATGACAAAATGCCTGGTATGCCTTAACATCTTTCGATTAAGGGAATTGGGCCCCCTGATACATCTAGGCTCCTCGACCTTGAGACTGCGGCTCGCAGCATGTTGGCAAACAGCACACGCCGCCGAGCGCCGTCCGGTTCATTGGCCACCTTTTTTGTATGATTGTCTCTGAGAATTCGCGGGATATACAGGGCATGTACCAGAGTGATGAGAGGAGGGACTACGTAAGGAGTCTCTGTTCTAGAAAGCTTAACGTTGTGCCGCGGCTTCAGTAAAAGCTTGCCGGTTTCGCACGGAGTCCTGGCTTAAAGAGTTTGAGGAATCAAGTGTTCTTTTGCGTTTTAGGCCGTCAGGGCTTCAAGTGGACATTGGCAAGAGGATCGATCGGATGCAGCAGCTTTATGAGGGAAATTGCCGAAAAGGTTGCGTCTCGGCTCCGAAAATCTGTGCATAAACACCCCTCAATGTGCAGCAGAAGCTCCTCTAGCTTGGGGGGGGGGTTGACGGTTTGCGGCTTCACACAGACCAAGATCTCAGCAAGACTGACAGGCTCGCTAAGATGCCTAGTTGCTGAGTTCCCTGGCCCCCAAAAGGCTAACCTTTGCATTACAATAGGACTATACATACCCCAAAAGGTTAAAGGGTACCTACCCAGCTACTAAGGATGCTTCGTGAGAAATCCAATGGCGCAACTCAATGCCACAACCATTTGACTGGACTTTGCACTCGAAATTCCCGGCCACTTCCGCAGCATACCCCTCAAAGTCCATGTTACGCGGGCGGCTTTAATTCACAAACCATGACCAGTTCACCAAACCCTCTACCACAGTAGCCAACTCTAGAAACCGGGCACTTCTGAACAGCAGCAGGGTGTCTGTGCCTCTCATTTGCTGTTGTCAGCAAACCGCAGACAAACCGAAAACCCCGCACTCCAGGCATAGACCGCTCCAGATGCAGAAGGCGAGGCCCCTACAATTTGCGAAGACCTGAGTCAGGCTTTAACAAGAAGCTCCCAACCCTTGTTGTTAGCAGCATCCCCCGAATCATGCATCATGCAAGGAATGTCCTTAAATGGAGGCTCTGAGCACATCCAAGATGACTCTGCGCGAGCAGGCTGAACAAAAACAAAGTTGCTCTGCGAAATCACAGCTCTAATGCATCCAAGCTAGCCAGCATGCCAGGCTTTGCCACCTACATTGCCCGGCGCACTATCTAAATTAAACTTTGAAACCAAGAACAGCCCAGCATATGTTCCATACAACTGTCGGCAAACACCGCGCTCAGCGCTTACGTGAGTCTTTATCCCCGTAATCAATGCTACGGCTCAGTTGAGCAGCTCTAGGCGAGGGCATCACTCAACCATGGTTGCGGGATATTTCGGGTTCCGGGTTTAGGGCTTAGGGAAGATGACGTGGCGCATGCCTCCTAAAGCCAGGATCGCAGCTTCCAACGACATTCCAGATTCGTGCAAGCGGGGACCCCTGCACATCCACAGATGAGGCCCCTTTCCAATTGCAACTTGCCATGAAGCCCTAAACCCAAACAATTCCTGGAGAACCCAAATAGGAGTTTTGGGAGTCACCATACTAAGGATTATATTATTTTCAGTTCTATACTAGAGTCCCCTGTTTGCTTGAAGTACCAAATTCCAAGCTTTGGGGCTCCCACTCGCCCAACTCGGCCGCCAGCAGCGTGGCCTGCTCTGGAAGCCGCATGGCAATGTGTCAAGGGGGTCGTTTCCTGCTTTAGGTCTTCTAATGGATTTCTTATTATATGTGGGGATGTTACGCAATGGAAAACCAAATCATATGAAAAGCAAACCGAATGGAAACGGCGGTTTACACAGGGGTCATGCCATATACTCCCTCAAACTACCACGGAACCCAAGGTAGCCCTCTTTTGCCAAGGGCACTATGCAATCTATGTGATGAGAGCTAGTGACCTCTAGATTGACTGGTCTCGATCAATGCCAGAAGTCGGTGTCCACGTTTCATCCTCTCTGGGACACGTGAACGCGTGACAAGACCAACCAAGAACCATGGTGGTAGTTATGATTACTTCTTGCCTCGTTGCTTTCCCAACATGCCTAGGAGG